CTGGGCTTAGTATCCAGGGGCCTGAGTTCCAGGCCACTCAGTGACTACGGGTGAAGTGGCCGGTGGAGGGGCTGGGATGTGGCACCTGTGTGAGTCAGCATCAGCACTCCCAGCTTGCTGCTCCCACGCACTCTCCCAGGGTCTCTCCCTCTCCCTGGCACTCTTTGCCCTGTCCCTCAGTCTTACTAGACATTCTCACGCGCTGTGAGCTTGATGTGCAACCAGGTCGAGTCATAGATGGTGGGTGTGAGGTGGGGAAGAGAAAATATAGCCCTCTAGGAACCCTCTAGGACTCTCTCTTTCTCTCTCTCTTTCTGTGTATGTGTCTCTCTGTCTCTGTCTCTGTCTCTCTCTCTGTTTCTCTCTGTCTTCTGTCTCTGTCTCTCTCTGTCTCTGTCTCTCTCTGCCTCTCTCTCTTTCTGTGTATGTGTCTCTCTGTCTCTGTCTCTCGGTCTCTATCTCTCTGTCTCTGTCTCTGTCTCTCTCTCTCTCTCTTTCTCTCTCTCTCAGAGAAGCATCAACAGCAGCTTCTCTGGAGGACTCTTCAGGGTTACCTCAGACCCTGGAAAGGAAAGGTGTCCCCAGGACAAAGAGATAGTACAGAAGATAGGGCGCTTGCATGTGGCCAACCAGAGTTTGATTCCCGGCACCATACACGGTTCTCTAAGCTCGGCAGGACTGATCGCTGAGTGCAGAGCCCCGCGCACTGCCTGGTGTGCCAAAAAAATTTTTAAAAAAAAAGGATAAAGGAAAATGATTCCCTGACATGTTCTCACAAGAACTAGCCCACCACCCTCCAAGGATTCATTCGCCATTGACGCCAGCCCAGATGGTCTCTCCCCTGAATACTCTGTTTTCCCCTCACATCAACCCTTCTCTCTTGAGTACTTGTCCTTTGAGTGGCAAGTATGGATCTCGGGCTTAAGAGCACTATTGAGCCGTGAAAAGGCTGACTTCAGAATGTGTTTCAGTGGTTTGTGAATGAATATTTTGAAGCACCAAGCACAAGCAGAGCACAGAGTTGGTGTCAGACGCTGCACCTCTCTTCTGCCTGCTGCTGTTGGCAAGTGCCCAGGAGTGCGACCGGCCAGAAAGGACACTGCAGGCTGGACCAGTGAAGGCATCAAGGTCCTTCACTTGGGGGAGGCAGGAAGTGAAAATCCGTGGGAGGCAGACTTCTGGTGCCTAGATTAGGGAGTGGCTTACCCCTATCACGAGACGGCTTTTAAAAAAAATTTTATTTTTTTAAAAATTTTTATTATTGAGAGTTTGTTTGGAGGTTCTAGCAGGGGAGCGCAGCTACTCATATACCCTCGACCGAAGACCCGTCCGTCTCTATTTGGGGAAGGCTGTCCTCTTCGAACAAGTGTGTAGCTTCCGGAGAGATGCACATGGAGCGGTGAGGGAGGAAGGGGACACCCACCTAGCCTGCCAGATCAGCCGAATCAACTCTGGCAATCAATGGGGTGACAGATGTTGCAGCCAGATCGCCCTCACATCCTGGAGCGACAGCACAGTGGTAGGGCATTTCCCTTGCACGCAGCCAGCCTGGCTGAGCCGGGTTCGATTCCTCTGCCCCTCTCAGAGAGCCCAACAAGCTACCAAGAGTATCTCGCTCGCGCGGCAAAGCCTGGCAAGCTACCCGTGACATATTCAATATGTCAAACACAGTAACAACAAGTCTCAAAATGGAGACATTACTGGGCCCGCTCGAGCAAATCGATGAACAATGGGAGGACAGTGTTTGTTTTTGGTTTTTTGTTTTATTATTGAATCACTGTGACATACAGTTACAAAGCTTTCATGTTTGAGTTTTAATCATGCAATGATCAAATACCCATCCCTCCACCAGTGCACATTATCCACCACCGATGTCCCCAGCATAACCCACCTTCCCAACCCCTCCCCTGCCTCCAAGGCAGACAATTTTCCCCATACTCTCTCTCTGCTTTTGGACATTATGGATGAGACGATTTCTAGAACAGTCTACGGGTGGCAATTTGGTAAGGGATGCTGCAGAGATTTAAGGTAAAAATTCAGACTAGAAAGAGAATCTTGAATTGGTTGGTGGCTTGAAACCCACTCAGTGGTGAAATCCAGGGCTAATGTATGTACAAAATTTAGTCTCCAAAGAAGAAAAGAAGAAAGGGGGAGGGAGGAGGGAGGCGAATAGCAAACTAAAGAGTTTTCACTGAGTATGATTTCTCACACTTTTAATCTTTTGCCTTTCCAAATGTCCAATGGGCACAATCTTGTTATCAGACATTAAACCCTTTCTCCAGTTTTCCTGAGTTTTTACCAAAGTAAGCATGCTCATAGAATTATATTTATTATTGGCTCACAGTAAACTGAAAGACATAATCTTCTAAGTAAGAAGAAAATACCCCAACTACAGTCAGATTTATCCTGTCACTGTCCTCCTGTTGTTCATCGATTTGCCCAAGTGGGCCCGGTAACGTCTCCATTGTGACAATTGTTACTGTGTTTGGCGTATCGAATACGTCACGGGTAGCTTGCCAGGCTTTGCCGTGTGGGCGAGATACTCTCGGTAGCTTGCCGGGCTCTCCGAGAGGGGCGGAGGAATCAAACTCCCGTCAACCCGGTTGGCCGTGTGCAAGGCAAATGCCCTACCTGCTGTGCTAAAAAGTACAAAATAGTGGGCGTGGAGGTGGCTTTGCTTCACCTGTGAGAAAAGCAGTTTCTATCCCTGTCCCTGCATGTCCTGCCCAGCATCCTGGGTGACTCCTGAGCCTTGAATCGACTGTAACCCTGAGAAGCCCTGGAGGTGACTCAGAAAGCAAAATGCCTGAGAACAACACATCCAAAGGAGCTGGTGCTTTCTTACAGTCGTGGGTCTTCATGTCCCCACAGCCCGCGGGGCTAGCTGAGTGGACAGTGAGGGTCATTTGTGTTACCAGAGGATCCGTAAGTGAGCAGCAAATATGTGTGTGCCAGGCTGCTGGGGCCGCAGACACAGAGCCGGGGCAGAGGATGAGAGGGGAACTCTTCGAGCACGGGGCTGGATGCTTCCTTCCAAGATTATTGACATCCGAGCAACAGCGTGCAAGAATGGACTATCAGACCACACCACCCTGAAAACACTTTTCAGTGGAAATGGCTGTGGCATAGCCAAGGACAACAGGCAAAGCATTCGCTCGGGGGGCCAGGGGTTTTCCCCCACCGGCCCTCCCTGAGTGTCCCCTGCCCCGTGGCTCTGCCTACGGCTGAGTGTCCCTGTCCCTGCGGGCCCTATGACCACCTTCTAGGTGCACATGCCGCAAGTTTTTTTTTTATCTATTTGGAGGCCACGTCCACCCAGGCTCAGAGGTCACTCCGGCAAAATGTCTCCCTCAGCCATGTTTGGGGGACCGTGTGGTGCCAGGGATCCAACCCTGGGTTCCAACATGCAGAACATGAAGTTTCAGTCCTTTGAGTTTTTTTTCCCTGACCCAGATCACAACTTTCATGTCCACTTTGCATTGAGGACCTTGAGCTAGAGAGAGTCCCAGGAGCAACCTCAGATGACTCACCAACTCCCATCTAGTCTGAATGAGTCTGGTCAAAGGATTTTTTTGTATGTTTTCCTCCCAAGGTAGCAGAAGAGTTGATGAGACAATAAATTTGATATGAACAATTTGACCAACGGTGAGAAAACAGCTGCCTTCCATCTCTGCCATCATCTAAAGTAAAATTCCAGGATCAAGACCCCGCCCCAGGCTGAGTCTCATCTGGGGCACCCTGGAAGGGGGTAGGTGAACCCACCACCCATCCCAACAGAGTCCCAGCAGCCAAAAAATTCCAGATACCAATTGCCATCATGCTCACGACTGATTTCCATGGCTAGGGATGAGCACCATCCATGAGAATGGATCTGCTGAAAAACTCAGGTAGCGGGTTTTGTAACTGAAATCTCCAGGCTCTCATGGAGTCAGGAACGGGTGACCTCCCCACATCTCCCTTTTCTTCTGGGAGCCTGGCAGTCATGGCCAGGAACCGCCTCTGGTGCCATATAAGCTCATTAATTAAAATTTTAGAATTCCTGGAACAACATCTCATACTCTACATCACTAATGTACCAAGAGTAGCACACCACATTTGATGAGGTGTAAAGGAGAAGGCAACTGACCTCATCCTGATCAAATATATGTGTGTGTGTGTGTGTGTGTGTGTGTGTGTTAGCATACAAAGGTTCAACCTGTAACAACATGTTAGTAATCTCTTATACAAGGGCTCAATTGCTCCAGGGTGAGATACAACAATCACACACTTTCCTCTAAGGAAACTTTTTGGGATCATTTTTAGTGCATGATTCATAACAAGCAATGCAAAATAAATTATTTAGGACCTGCTTTGGGGACATGTTTGGGTGGTGGTGGGAAGATTCAAAATAATGGTGGTGGGAAAGTGAAATGGTGTTGGGATTGGTGTTGGAATATTGAATGTAATAAATTATTGTGAACAACTTTTTAAATTTAGAAAGAAAGAAAGAAAGAAAGAAAGAAAGAAAGAAAGAAAGAAAGAAAGAAAGAAAAGTGCTGGGATATTCTGGAGAAGTTTCCCTGGTTCTCTAGGAGAATATCTTACCCACCAGTCAATAACCAATCAATGTCCGGTGGCTGGTAGAAGGGTGTCCGCCCACAAACGGGATCCTAAAAATAAACAGGCCCAGCTTTTGGATGGCGAGTGGTATTGATGTGGGGAATGAGACCCTTGCTCACACATCCCACCTGTGACATTCATCGGTCTTCACCTCTGGGCCCCATGTCATCTTTTCCACCTCTGGGAAGTTTTCACATTGTCTGTCTCTCTTTCAAGTAGAAGGCTACGAAAAGGAACAGAGCTGCCCTAAAAGGAATGAGGAAGTGAGCGTCTCCCCGCCAGGCGGGCTGACTGAGCCCATGTGCTTTCCGGTCCTTGGTAATATTCTGAATTTCCACCTTCCCGCCCCCTACTTAAAACGCAGAGCACATGTGGGCGCGGGCAGTCTCCTCTCCACTTCGCTGTGATGCGGTTCCTCCACAGCGCGTAGGAGCTAAACTCACTCTGGCTGGAGCCCTCCGGGGTAAGTACCAGAAACCAGCACCTGCCTAACCCCCATCCCCCAGCTGCCCCTGGGAGCAGCAGCCGTGTTTCTAAGGACTCCAGGCAACAGGGCTTTGCTTCTGAATCCAGCCAGGCTCTCTGGGGCACAACCATTCTGTCAATATTAGCCATGTGGCTTTTGTCTACTATAAGTAGTATCTTGGGAATAAGTTCTTTTATCTTTTTCTCTTTTGGGTGAAATGAGAAAAGCCAAGACATTTGCACAGGGCTTGGCAGAGTGAACATTCCAGATGGGTGTTGGTTGTGACTGTGATTGTAATTATTGTCCCGTTATGACTTCGTGTGGCATGGCCCAATGAAGCCAGCAGGTGTAAATAATTTTGAAGTTTGTAAACTGGGGGTGCTGTTTTTAATAGCCCAAGCCATCTGGTATCATCTACCAGACTTTAAAGGAAACCTTTCTACTTAATTAATAGTTCTAAACTTTGTGTATTTTGGCTAAGCGGCCCTAAAGTTGGCTAAGTCAGTGCTCCATCTAACTCTTTTGCCTGTGATTTCTTGTAGACAGAGCCAAGGTCACTTGGCAGTGGAATTCATCACTGGAAGTTAGCCTCAATTCTAATGAAATTAATAAGCAGTCACAATACTGTAAGTACGCCTCTTGCAGTTATTAATTCATAGTTTCTACCGGCTAGAATGAAAAGATGTTTACCTAATTTGATTCTATTTTCTTTTTTAGTCAAAAACACTAAATGCTGAAAATATGGAGACATTAATTGAATGTCAATCAGAGGTAAGGAAGCAATTTTTTTAAATCAAAATAATTTTTACCTGAACATTGAGATAAAAAATCTTCGTGTTTTCATTGTCATTGTCACAGCTTAGTTATCAGAGTAGAAAAACAGCGTTATACATGCAACCAGTTCAATACATTAGCCGAGATGACTTGAATCATGATTCTACAAGCTTGAGAAATATCAGTGCACTCCGTGGATTCACTTTTAAGATGCATAAAGTGCGTTCTGTGTACTTTGAAAGGAAATGGGGAAAGAACTTAATTAGAATCAATATATTTTCAGGGGGACCTGAAGGAACATCGGGTGTTGGCATCATGTGACAATGAAGATAACATCTGCCAGCTAATTGGTGAGTTTTGAAAACATACCAGCCTTTTATGTAAGTGCTAATAGGGAGTGTTCTTGGTTTGCAAAACCACAATGCTTTACTAGGAATTTTTTTTATAAATGTTCTCTTACTGACCACAGAACATTAACACTTAACTGACAGGCATGCTCTATCCAGTTCACTAGAGCAGCTAGGTACTCTGACAGAGCAAGTCCTCTTGCAGAGTTAGGCCCCCACTCAGCTCTCCGAAGGCTTGATAGTGGGGTTGAGTATCTTGTGGCCCTTCCCTTGGACCCTGAAAGCAAGACGTGCAGATGAAAACGGGGCAGTGCTTCGCCCTTATTCTTCCTTTTTTGTTATCATTGAATCTAAAACCTCAGATGCAACTCTTGCTGATCTCAAGTCACAGAGAGTCCCCCCTACACTTTTATTAATGTTTTTCATAATGCATTTCATTGTATGGGGACTCACAGGACCTTTGTGCCCAGCCTGTACCCCTCCCTATTTTAAAGGGTATCCAAGGGCAGTGACCATGTTCTCCCCCTGGGAGGGGGCCCTGCTCCCCCACCCTTCTGTACCTGGAGCCCTTTCTCTCCCGTTCTGCCAGACCTCGAGGGTCACCCCTTCACTCCCACCACTGTCTGGAAGCTCTGGCTCAGCCAGGCCAGTGGCTGGCTGACCGTCCTGATGGGCTGCATTATACCTATGTTACTAGTACAAACCCAATGCCACATTTTTATAATTGTGATTAAACTTGATTGCACACACACACAAAAAATGAGGCCAGAGTGATAATAAAGCGGATAGGCATTTGCCTTGCACATGACCAACCCAGGCTCAACCTCTGGCATCCCCTATGGTCCCCCAAGCACTGCCAGGAGTGATTTCTGAATGCAGAGCCAAGACTAATCCCCAAGCATCACCATGTGTGACCCAACCCCTTCCCTCCCCCCAAAAATAAATAAATAAATAAATAAACATAACCTTGTAACATAATTTTTACCCCCTTATCCTGAATCATAAAGAAAAGCTGCTTTTCTATCTTCTACTGGGCAGTAGAAACTATGCATTTAAAAAATATTGCTTTTCTAGTTAGATTTGAAAAGAAGAAGAGAGAAAAAGGAGGAAGCTGAGGGATGCAATACCCATTGCACACATATGTCCCATTTGGTAATACAGATCACTGCCGATTGGCAGGTCTATGTTCAAGCCTTTCTAGAACAGTTTCTGCTTGTCCCCAGGCATCTTGGGGCAGGCGTGGGACTGGGCTGTGGGATGGGAAACCTGCCCATGTCATAGGTGGACAGTAAGCAGGCCGAATGATGCCGCTCCCTCTAGCAGCTGGTGCCACTGGCAAAGGTTGTCGAACTTGCTGGCTCCGCTAAGTACCTTCCTCACCCATCTTGAGCAAGTCGGCTTCCTTCCAAGTTTCATTCACCGGTTAAAGGAGGGAATTAAGTAATCTATTTCATGCCTACATTTTCCATTACATTCACTAAGATCAAGATGGTTGGATGGTTGTTTCTAGACGCACAGTCAAGCTTTGCTAATTTTCAGTAGCAAACAGCTGCTGAGCTGTGAAAACAGGAAAGGTGGAGCCCTTGAGCCTCCTCAGAGTTGCTGTTTAGGGGCTGGTCGCCCTGGCAACAGCACAGTTGTTCTGGGGGGGCTGATTTTTCTAGAAGATTCATTCCCTTTGCTGTCTTAGTTTTCCAACTTCCCTCACACGGCACACCATAAATGACATTAAGTAGTGTATGATATCCACTGTCTTACCTAGATCTCTGTTTATTAACATTTTAATTGAATCTTTCCCCCTTTCCCTTGTTTTCTTCATTGCAGAAGTTAAGAAGAGGAAGAAGGGGCTATCCTGGCCTTCTCTCATGAGAAGGCTCTCTCATTTATCTGATTTTTCTGGAGCTTCAGAACCAGAACTGAAAACATCCCTCTTTGATCAGCCCTTGTCAATTATCTGCGGTGACAATGACACCCTGCCCAAACCCATTCAGGTAGGGGAGCATTTACTTGTACATAATCTACTTCTATTCTCTGTTGAATGTGAAGTTTTGGGGAAATTGGATTCTTTGTGGACAGGAGGACTCAGGGCCACACTTGGCTGTGCTCAGGGCTTATTCCTGGCTCTACATACAGGAATCATTCCCAATGGGACTTGAGTGACTACAATGGGGTGCTGAGGATAGAATCTGGGTTGACTGATTCTAAGGCAAGCACCTTGGCTGATATATTATCTCTACAGCCTGGAAATTTGGAGTGTCATTCTAACTTATTAGGACCAACCTTGAGTTTTTCTGCATAGAAGGGCAATTAGGAGAACACGGGGCTTTGTACCATCTAGAAGTTACTCATATCTGCCAGTAACCTCAGATTGATGGTTCTACCAACCCACCCACCCATCTTTCAGACTTCCTGAGGTTAAGAATGTTAAAACTCTCCTGAAAAATCAAAAGGCAGAGGTGGTGTAATAATGTAAAGCAAATGATGAAAACCCCAGTGTTCGTATGTGATGACTTGAAAGGAGGCAGGTCTGGAATCATTCTACAGTGTGTAAAGTCAGAGCTTTTATGATTTGCCTCTCTTGAAAAAAATGGCAGAATTGAGGAAGACAGTTGATATAATTAAACTGAAAGTAAGACTTGGATTTCTGAGTGTCTCGTTAAGACTGACACCAGATGACAGAGAGGGCATGTTAGTAAAGTTGGCTACTGTTTCTGTGCATAATTTTCCTTCTCTTTCTCCCATCTAAACATCAACTTTTCATTTACTGTTGGCAGCAAAGTGGGTCTTCAAACCAGAGGTAACCTGTCAACCCTACCCCATTTCCTACAGGATATTCTCACTGTTCTGTGCCTGAAAGGACCTTCCACTGAAGGGATCTTCAGGAAAGCAGCCAACGAGAAAGCCCGGAAAGAGCTCAAAGAGGAGCTCAACTCAGGTGGGGCAGTGGAGCTCCGTGGCCAACCAGTGCACCTCCTGGCCGTGGTCTTCAAGGTGAGCTCGGCACCGTGTCAAGCACATCCCCAATAGGCATGTGACACATGAGCTCCAGGAAAGGAAAAACTATGCTCTTCTCCTGATAATCAATTCATCCTGGGGTTGAATTCTTTCTAAGTTAGACCTTTGTTTATATCAGCATCTCTGTTTTCGGAATCGCAGATTCTATCAGAAAAAGATACATTTAGTGACCCCTCACCATAACACACACACACACACACACACACACACACACACACACACACTGAGGAGAAAAGACACTAGATTATCCTGTGGCCAAGCAGAGGCCCCTTAGCTGGTAGCTTTCTGTGACTAATGTTAGGAAGTTGCTGAGGGATTCCCCCTGAGGGATGGGTCAAATGCAGAAGGAAGGGAATGAGTATGGCTGAGTGAGCTTCGGGTCTCTGAGAGGGATCACACTGCTGGAGGTGGGGGCTGTCTGCATATTAGACAATACACACAGGCCAACCCATCCCTGTCTGATCCTCAGGACTTCCTCAGAGGCATTCCTCAGAAGCTGCTGTCATGTGACCTGTTTGAGGAGTGGATGGGGGCCCTGGAGAAGCAGAATGAAGAGGACAGGATCGAGGCCCTGAAACAGTAAGTGGGCAGAGCCGTTTCAGACAGGAGGCCTGAAACCAGGGAGAAAGCCACACTCACAAGGCCAACATAAAGCTCTTTGCAAACAACAACTCTGAGAAATTTAGAAATGATCCCGAACCACCACTTTCTTACTTGATCCCCTGATCATGTTGGTAAACATACCTTACAAATATCTATTTTCCGTAAAGACTTCTCGTAAGAGTATAAAAGATGCTTCATCTTCATTTGATAATCACAGTTCAAACTGAAGGCAAATGGAATGCCCAAAACACAGTCCAACGGATGGTATTTGAAACACAGAGTTTCTACACAGCTAACAGATTACTCAAAGACATTTTACAAGTTTTAACGCCGCAATTGAACACAGGTGTTCACCCTTCATAACTGGAGAAACTATGCAAAGAGTCAAGGCTGTGCTCTTGGTGCCCGTTACAGGAACTGGTGTCCTTGGTCTTCCAGACCTTCTGGTTAACCAGTTTCATTCCAGGTCATCTGCCTGAGTTTCTGAATGAGCATTGCACAATGTTACTTGTTAAAACCCCCTTCCTCATTTTAAAGGAAGTCTGGATTGGGCTGAATCTTTCTAGCTGCTACATGAAGTCCCCCTAGGCTGGGGCTGCCTCCAACTCTAACTTCCTTAAACTTGATTGCAGGGTTGCAGAGAAGCTTCCCAGGCCCAACCTCCTGCTTCTCAAGCACCTGATCTATGTGCTTTACCTGATCAGCAAGAACTCAGAGACCAATAAGATGGACGCCAGCAACCTGGCCATCTGCGTCGGTCCCAACATGCTGGCCCGAGACAATGACCAAAATCTGTCCTTCGAAGCCCAGAAAGACCTGAACAATAAGGTTTGTTCTAGCTTCTCCCCGACCAACTTCTCGTTTATGGCCTCACTTTTTATTTCCAAAAGTAAAACCCTGGGGTGTTTCTGAATTTGTTTGACTCTGGATCACAGAGACTCTATGATACTCTTTTGCCAGAAATTACGTGCATTTAACTGAACTGAATATATTTAGGCCTCTGTGCTCTGTAATCCCATGAGGCAGAGGAGGACGCTACAGATCTTTGTATCTCTGCCCCCCGGATGCAAAAGCCCTTTGCGTGTGTGCACCCTTTTGTGCATTGAACTCTGTTGGTCCAAATAACAGATTTGGAAAACTGACTAATGAAAACTTTTTTTTTTTTTTTTTTGCTTTTTGGGTCACACCCGGCGATGCTCAGGGGTTACTCCTGGCTCATGCACTCAGGAATTGCTCCTGGCGGTGCTCGGGGGACCATATGGGATGCTGGGAATCGAACCTGGGTCGGCCATATTGGCTGCGTGCAAGGCAAATGCCCTACCCACTGTGCTATCGCTCCAGCCCCTGGACTATATGGGATACTGGGGATTGAACCCAGGTTGGCTGCATGCCTACTCACTGAACTATCTCTCCAGCACTGAGTTTAAAAAAAAATTTAAATCACAGTGCATGCCTCAAAAATAACTTGAATATACACGATTCTATGAATTTCCCATCTGCTCCTGTCACATAAAGATATCTTATGTTTATCCTGACACTTCCCTGACAGAGGCCCCACCCCATAATGCCCCCACTCTTTGCCCAGCCCAAAGAGAAAGAGCAAAAGATGTCTTCAAGCTGACAGCCTGTTTATTCCTCCTCACAGGTTAAGTCACTGGTGGAATTCCTCATTGATAACTGCCTTGAAATATTTGGGGAGAACATTCCAGCACATTCCAGCATTGCTTCTGATGATTCCCTGGAACACACTGACAGTTCAGGTACAGAATGTGAACTTGACTGTGATGATGGGGCAACTCTGTGCCAGCCTACAGGTCCAGCAATGTGAAGCCTTACTGGTGCTGGGAACAAGTGACTTTCACAGATTAACAAACCACGTAGACTCCAGACTGGTGGCAAGTGGGGAAAACCTAGTTCTCAAATTCCCCTGCCCCATCTCCTGGGCCTGCACAGTCAGCCAGCAACCCTGTTCCTATTCTCAATCTCGAAGAACTACAGAAGTCACTAAATTACTATTAGCCAGTGGCTTTCAGTAAGAAAAAATCTGGTTTGCACAGTCTGGAAAATGGGTCCATTTAAATTCACTAAAATGGAAAAGGACTCATGGGAAAAAATGATCCACAGCAGAACCACTTTTATGTTTAAATAGTGAATTTTTCACTTTTCACTTCTCCTTCCTCCCCTCCTCTTCTCCTTCTCTTTCCTCTTTCTTTTCCTCTCGGCCCTCTCTTCCCCTACTCCTCCTACTAAAAATGTGGAAAGAAACAAAATATTAATATAGAAGATTTCTTTTCTACCAAACCTCAAAGTAGCATCAACAAGACATTCCTGGGCAAAAGCAACAGAAATGAAAACTAGGAGAACTGGTCTTTAGTGGGAAGCTGGGGATGGTGTGTGTGTTGTGTGTGTGTGTGTGTGTGTGTGTGTGTGTGTGTGTGTGTGTGTTGGGGAAGAGGGGATTAGGACAGTGGAGAGAACTCTAGAACAATGGTGGGGGGAAGTAGTCAACCCAGACGAGGGGGTGCTGGTAGGTCAATTTTGTCCATGAAACCCCATCAGTTACAGTACTATAAACCACGGTGCCAATAATGGTTCTCAGGTGTGTTTGCTCTTCAAACCCCCATTCTCCCTTGAACATACACTCACCTGCTTGGCTCTCTGCTTCTTCGCTTGCTTATTTGCACTCTGCAGAAGCTTGTGTCCTCATTGAACACGTTTCTCCTCTTTCTCTCCTCTCACATCTTTCCAAACAATGTCAATGAAAACTATCTTGCTTCACCCAAAAAAGTGCCCCTCCTAGAGTCAGTATGGTGGGTAGGTGGGAAAAACTGGGGACACTAGAGGAAGGAAGTGGACGCTGGGGGAGGGATTAATGCTGGAGCTTGTGTGCCTGAAACCAATCATGGGCCTCCATAAACGTATCCCACCTTTTCTTTCTTGCAGACACGTCCACCCTGCACAACGACTCAGCCTATGACAGCAATGACCCCGACGTGGACTGGGGCAGCACCCTGGGCTCCCCTTGCAGTCAGCAACAGGTGCCCTCGGACCAGGCCGCCAGCTGGGCCCCCCAAAGCACAGAGCGGCAGTCGTGGGAGCTGAGTCGGGAACCCACCCTGGCCATGGTGGCCAGGCTCAGAGGCACTCTCGGGGCATCAGACAGGAGCTACTCGGAGCCCAGCATGCCATGCGCTCCAAGGGACCCCGAGAGCCAGAGGTTGAGCCCCCTACTTGGAAGGCAGGTGCGGGGCTTCCAAGCGGAGCACTCAGACAGCGAAGACCCCGAAGACCCCTTCCCGGAGGAAGAGGCAGAGGAGGAGGAAGATGAGGAGGAGGAGGAGGAGGACGAGGAGGAGGCGACTCCAGGTGCAGAGGGCCCAGCCCAGCGCCTGCTGGACCCCAGCGGGAAGCAGACGTGCCCACGGGCTCCCCAGGCCCCCCGGGGCTCTCTGGACACTTCTTCTGAGGGCTCGCCCACCGCGTCCCCCGCCAGCCCCAAGCGCGGCTTCTTCACTCGACACCAGTCCTTCACCAGGTGGGAGAGGAGCAAGCCTCAACGCACGCTCAAGAAGCACTCGCTGTCCTTCTCCTTCCCCTCGCCGCCCAGGATGCTGCCCACTGTGCCCAGTGCCAGTCCAGCGTCCTGCAGAGGCTGCCACCGAGACCAGCCCGCCAAGGGGCCCAGGAAGGAAACGCGGCTGGCCGGGCGCATGGTCCGGGAGAGCCTGTGGGACTGGCCAGGCCCCATGGCCCCGCTGGACTCCAGTTCAGCGCGTATGCTCGGGCAGCTGGACCAGCAGCGTGCAGGGCATCCTCCCTCTTACCAGGAGGCCATCCGGACTTCAGGCCTGGCGGCCAGCGGGTGCAGGACCGTGGGCAGCATGAGGGCCCGGATGCTCAGCCTGGACGCTGGACGCCTCCCGCTGCTTCCTGCCCAGCACGCGGGGGATGCCCTTGATGGACACACCAGCTGCCCTGGGATCAGGAGTTGGAAACCCAGTGAGACTGTGTGTGCTTCTGCGGACACTACAGAACCCGGGCGGCCGGAGCTGCACAGACTCACAACCATGACTGAGTCCAGACCCGCGGACAAGAGGGACAGCCTTCTCTGGAGGTGCAGTCAGCCCGTGTTTGAGGCTGAGCAACTACAGTGTGCTAAAGAATCCTACATCTAGGCCCGGCCCAGGTACCAGCCTCTGGGCTCTCTGAATAAATGCATGGATGTCTCCAGAACATCTGCTTTCCAAGAATAAGCTCCTTTAGAAAAGTTGTGTAGACGCCTCCTCCAGGAGGCTGGCTATACACAACTTACTGAGTACTGTCCATTTACACCTGAATTTGTGCAATAGCACAGCAGTAGGGCGTTTGCCTTGTGTGCAGCCAGCCCGGCTGAGCTGGGTTTGATTCTCCGCCCCTCTCGGAGAGCCCGGCAAGCTACCGAGAGCATCTTGCCCGCATGGCAAAGCCTGGCAAGCTACCCGTGGCGTATTCAATATGCCAAACACAGTAACAACAAGTCTCAAAAATGGAGACGTTACTGGGCCCACTCGAGCAAAATCGATGAACATCGGGAGGACAGTGTTTGTTTGTTTTGTGCAATCTATAGCAAGTGTGCAAAATGCATTCTAGACAAGACAGTTTTGCAAAGAAGTCTTGACATGTGTCTGCCTGTTGGAACTTGCATCTGAGGGTGGTGTTGTTGTTCTTTGCCTCCTGGGCACTTTCTGATTGATTGTTGGTTACAAATATTTATATAAACAGATACATAGATAGATATGTATATGAATATATATATTTAGAGAGCGAGAGAAAGAGACTCCAATCAACAAGTTTTAAATTGTCATGAATGAGTGAAAGACATGGTTATGTCTCTAATAACTGAGTACTCCAAGCTTCTTTGTACTGGTAACTGAGGATTTCTGAGCACTTCAAGCTTCTTAGTAGTTCAACTGATGTTTGGTTCAGGCATGTGGAAGAAATTACTTACATGCCATGGGGGTCATTTAGATAACCATCAATATAAGCTCACTACAATAAATTGCCTTTCTTATTTCAAAGAGTGGCTTCTTTCTGACACATTGCCTCCTCTTCCTAACTCATAGATAACCACATGAAGAGTTTCCCTGCGTTGTCTCATCCAGAAGCTTCTATTGCTTGTGCATTCATTACTATATCCTAAGAGGCAGAGGGTCACCACTGTTTCTCAGTGGTAGAACATGTGCTTCACATGTGTGAGGACCCAGATTATATACCACACACACACACACACACACACACACACACATACATATGTATATACAGGTGGGTTGAACATCTTTAGGCAGAAGAGTTCATCTGTCCCTACATTCCAATCATTTGCAAAGCCATAACAATGTCATGACTTTAAGCCATTTTTTTCAGTACATGATCATTCAGACACCAGAAAATTAGGTATGTAAACATGACTGTTGTAGAATAGCAACTATTTTCTAGGTTCAGCAGATTAAATTTTGCAGTACTTTTACCCAATCTTATTTTTTTTTTTTGCTTTTTGGGTCACACCCAGCGATGCTCAGGGGTTACTCCCGACTCATGCACTCAGGAATTGCTCCTGGCGGTGCTCAGGGGACCATATGGGATGCTGGGAATCAAACCTGTGCTGCCCATGTTGGCTGCGTGCAAGGCAAACGCCTTACCCAGTGTGCTATCGCTCCAGCCCCCTACCCAATCTTATTTTTGTAATAATGAGTTTTCTTGATTTCTACCAAAGTTATAATAGTAAAATTTTGTCATACATTAGTTGTTCAATGGTTAGCATACTTACCTAGTATCTTTAATATACTCCCATTTATTGACTTTCTTCATAAAAGACATATTTTTTATTTCATCTCTTAATTGAATCATTGTAAATTACTAAGCCACAAAGATATTTATGGTTGAGCTTCAGGTGTGTATTTTTCCAACACCAATCCCTTCACTCGAGCCCGCTAGCCTCCAGCAATGTCTCCAGTTTCCCTCCCACCCCCAGTCTGTCTCTGTGGCAGACACTTTTATCCTCCCCCCATCCCCACTGTCCCGTGCTCCCTTCCCTAACTTATCCCCTTCACCCCTGCCCCAGTGCCAAGCTTCCTACTGCATTTTTATTTCTTAAGAAAAATGTAAGTACCCGAATATGAAGGCCTATTCTTTTGGGGTGTAAGTTAATAAGTAGTACAAATTTTAAATACTGGAGTCAAGATTGCTTGAGGCAGTATGTTCATATGTAATATCACTAAAATTACTTTTTTCAGCACTACAAAGAAATGCATAAATTCCAGGAGTCAGATCCTTTCCCTTCCACCTCTGACTTTTAAAAAGTGATCTTTCTCCATCATTGAACATTAATAGTTAAAGTTACGATTTTAAGCATCTTCCATGTATCTGGCACTGTTCTAAGTGCTTCAAGATGGAAAGAAAAATTCCCTGATGTTTTCAGTAGGTGCTTAGTGCACATTAGAGAATTCTCATCCACAGAATGAGATAATGAACTAAGAAGTCTTCAACATTTTCCTCTTACCTGACCTCCATAAGACCCTTCCTAAATCATGAAAACCAGACCCAACACTTCCTCATTTAAAAAAAAAAAACGAAAGTGGAGTAAAGCAGGAAGTTCTATCTGCTACTCACACGCCACAATTGTCACGATAGTAATTATCTTTGCACAGTGGAGGAAGAGGGGTGGGCATTTCAAATACTGTACAAAATTCTGTTCCACCCCTACCCAATAACCTTTAAAATCGTGTTGCCCTAACCTGCTTCCCAAGCATATTCATTTGTGAGGGTCACCGTAACAAAGTTCCACCAAGTGATTTAACCACAGAAATAGACTCATGGTTCTAGAGTTTAGAACTGAGATCAAGGTATTGGCAGGCTTGGTTCCTTGGGAGGACATGATCCAGGCTGTCTTCTTTGTAAATGGTCCTCTCTGTGTCACCACATCATGGCCCTTCATGTGTATCTGTCCCCATATTGTCCTTTCTTACAAGGGCCTCATCCATATTTGATTAGGGTCCATGCCAATGACTTCATTGTACCTCATTAACGTTATCTTTTGAGAACTGAGTTAGGGCTTTGAAATATGAATTTGCTAAGCTAGGGGGCACACATTTCAACTCATACACCAAATTTCACAGAATACATTTCATGAAAGCTTGAGCTTGCTAACAACTTTTAACATTTTCCCAGAACTAGGGGCCCCAAGATTATTGTTGAATGTTCCTGGCATCTACTCTTCCAGGGACCATGTAGCTATCACACAGTCACCAATGGTCCTGGCATACAAATACAAGGGGTCTGGGAAAATCAGGTAGGATCCTAAGGCCTAAGACTGAGCTCACAGCAGGACAAAAGCCAAGGGCTGGTCTCCATCTTCAATCACTGGATCTCCCCAGTCCCCTGCCCTAGCCCAGCACAGGAGTGACCCTGGCTGCCTTGCCAACTGATGGAGGGAAGTTTGTATAATGAAAATGCCATGACCAACACCCAACCTTATTCCTGAGGAGTCTGGAACGTCTTCCTCATAAGAAAATATAGGACATTTCTTCTCCTCCCATGGAGAAAGGAAGAGGTAGAGTGCCCCTGCTGTTGCCAACTTTCCCCAGGATACTTGTGATGACCTGGCATGTGCCAACTCCAGCTCTTGGTCCAGAAATCTGGACATGTAGAAGGTAACCTAGGCTGTGAGCTTGGGCTGGAACTGAGCAACAGTACTTACATACCTCAGAGCTCACACCCGGGCAGCACACCCATCTTACATGTCACAGAAAGCTACCAGACACGGATTGGAGGACTGATGAAATAAACTTGAGCACATGGTCATCTGTGCTTCCCATAGCCAGAGGTGATACTATCCAGCAGCCATAAACAGTCTATCCTGACCCCCACTAAAAGGTTAGTCCTGATGAATTCCCCTGATGGTGATCTCTAGGATGGCCCTTGCATGCATTCTTCCTGAAAGGGTCAGGTCAACTGCAATTTGCATCAAATGGGATCACCCATAACTTGAGTTTTCTTTTGTAATGGAAATATGTAAGATCTTTATCTACAAAGGGAGAGTTATGAGGGAAGCAGAGTGTAAATATTTTGCAAGAGGTGGAAGCAAATCCATTTGAGGCAATTTTTTCATACGTGCATACAGTCCCTGCACATTGTCTGCTGGAGAGCAGAAATAACATACAACAGAGGAAACTGGGAGAGGGGTGAAGTGTCAGTCTCCTCCAGAGTGAGGCCGGGCAGACACAGAACCCTACAGAATGAGGCAGGAAAAGAAAGGCAAAGTACTAACACAATATAGAAGCTGTGAGCACGTTTGTTCAGGATGTGTAAGTCCCATGGTCTTTAAACTGGCCAGAGTTCCATGGTGACCCAGTGATTGGGAAGGGCAGTGACCTTGAAGGGGAATGACACTCAAGCACCACACCCAAAAAGTGGCATGACAGGGGCTGGGGTGTCAGTATAGCGGGTAGGGTGTTTGCCTTGCACTTGGTGGACAGGCTTCGATTCCTAGCATCCCATGTGGTCCCCTAAGCCCCTCCAGGAGTAATTCCTCAGTGCAAAGCCAGGAGTAACCCCTGTGCATTGACCCAAAAAGAACAAACAAACAACAAAAAAAAGAAGTAGCATGACAGACAGTATAAGGAAGCCCACAAGGGCACGTCTTGAAGGTCAGGCCTTGGCTTCCATGCAAAAGGATTTGTACCCGGACAAGTAGAGACTTTAGCTCAACAGCCAATGTTGTGTTTCACACCAATTTGGAGCTTCCTATGTGAAATCTCCAAATCAGAAATGAAAGCTTTCAACGACATTAGACATCAGGAATGATGACAAGAGGTGCCAGCTAAGCATTCCTGTCAATAGACTATGTCATCTTTGAAAAGAAAATTGTTTCTTTTTCTGATTTTTTGAGGAATAGGCATTTCCTATCCCCAAGTTTCTTTTAAAAAGATAAAGCAGGAACCAGACAGATATCTCAAGGATTGAACATATGGTTTGATGTGGGAGGTCTGAGTTTAATCCTTGGTTCCCCCCAAGTACCACAGGGAACCCCCCACCCAGAGCTGGAGCCAAGAGAAGACTCCAAATCCCACTGTGTATAATAAAGAAACAACCAAAAGCAACACAAAGACAAAGTAATAGACATGTGCTACTAAGTCAATTG